CATTTTTTTCTTATTATATTTATTTAATATCATATGTCATATAATTATAAATTTATCATTTTAAATCTTAATTTTTTATTAAACTTTCAAAATTTAAAAATTATATTATTATCAACTAATTTAAAATTAAATCATAATAAATCATATAAAAACATTTTTAATGTCTATTACTATATTTATTAAATTTAAATTTAAGACTTTATTTAAATAATATTTTCACCTAAATGTATGACTTTATTTTATTAAGATTTATTTAAGTAAAGAAATTGAATGATTAAATAAGTCAAAAATCCTGCTCAAATATCAAATCCCTTGTCATATGGTCACATAAGCATGACATGGCAATATTTTTCCATCCAAGCAGCTAGGCGAGCAAGTCCCAAACGGCAGTTAGCCAGGCGAGCGAGTCTGAAACAGCGGTTAAGTTGGCGTAAGAAGAAGGGTTTAATTGGCTTGATCGCAGGGTTCAAGGGCTTATATGCATCAATTAAAGTCTAGGGGCTTAATAGCGATTCTGGGATTAATTCAGGGGCTTAACTTATGATTTTGCCTTTTGATTTTGAACTGAACCAAAATTAACAGTAACCAAAATAATTTGGTTATGTTATGAGACAACTGTACATCCAGCCGATTGACATTGGGTATTCATTTTGGTTACTGTTGTAATTCGGTGTTTTATTCTTTCAAACTGTAACTGAATTGTTTTAATCAAAATTTTATTTTGGTTATAGTTACAATTGGATTAGAAACTTTTTAAACAAAATTGTATGATTTATGTTTTTTTTTCTTTTTTCTTTTTCTTTTACCTTGTGAGTTTTTCATTGATTTCAAAATAAAAAACAAAGAAAATTTAATTAAAATGTCTACCATTGACATATATCTTGGAAGATGGCTATACTTTTTAAGTACAAAGAGCATAGAAGAAAAAAATAAATATCTATTTTAAAACCTAAATATGAATAATAAATTTCATCAATCAATATACTAATTCAAAATAACTAGTAACTAATAACTATATAAGATGATTATATAACAAATAACAAACACTATAAATTTATAAATGAATAATCCATGATGGATCATTCAATTTCATTTTTCATTAACTTAGTTGGTACCAGTGCTACACCAAAAATATACAAACAAAACAGATTAAAGCTACTAGTTTGCTAGCCTACTAGAATAAAAGATAACAATTAATAACTACTAGTCTACTATATGCCTATCTGATATCAAAAGATAAAAGATCAAAAGATTCAAAAAACCATGTTAGCAGTTAACCACAAGCACCAACCAAATTATCCATGCAAATATCTAAATATTGCTAAGTATTGTTCCAAAAGAAGTCATTATTTGACTTAAACTAAAAAAAAGTCAACACTATGCAATTTGCACAATAAAGTTAGCCAATATTGGAATACCAACATTCCTTTGTCCTTCCTTCCATTGTCCAAAAAGATAATCCGTTTATAAAAAAAAAGATTCAAAAGGTAAATGTCAAATGCTAGAGCATAAAATAGAATATATAATTGGAAATTAAGGTAATCTAAAAATAACAAACTTGTTCATGCTAACATCCCAATAAAGTTGCCTCCAAACCAAGCTTCTCAACACTTGTTATGAAAATAAAATTAGAATATGTTCCGTTGCTATAAGTAATTAATTATTCAATTAAATAACAAATCAAGTTTTAAAAAACGTGATTATACATTGTTTAATATTTAATAGGTTGTCTAAATCTTTCTCATCGAATACAAGATTTCCTTTACGCTTCAACCAATTTTGAGCATAGATTAAAGCCTGAACTATTCTTGGTGTCAAAAAGCTTCTAAAAGCATCAAGCACATGACCACTAGTGCTAAAACAAGACTTCGAGGCCACAGTTGATATTGACATAGCTAATACATCCTTAGCCATTGCACCAACAATGGGAAATCTAGGTGAGTTCAGCTTCCACCAAGCTAAAATGTTTAGATCTAGATTGTCTTCTTCAATAGCTTCTACCAAGTATTTATCTGATTCAGATTATTCACTAATAGTTCCATTGTCATTTTTATACTTCTTATATTTCATCTTCATTTTCTGTTTCCATCTTTGTGACGGATTCATCTCCACACTTGTTGAGACACTTGAAGCGTTGATAGTGACACTAGAAATTGAATTCTCACCAGAAGAATTAACATTGGAATTGGAAAGGGATTTGCTATTATTACTGCTATTGCCAATTCCCACTCTTTGTATTATTTTCTTATACTCCTCAAATGGTTTATAAGCCTCATCCTTCACTAGCTACCCATATTTATTTCCTAGTCCATTTTCACCATGTTTGTCATGTATTTCCTTCAACATGAATTGAACATACTCTAATTTGTATCTAGGGTCCAACACCATTCCAATAAATATATTCATATTCATTTCAATTGGAGTTTCCTAATTTTGTCAAACTTATCTCTCATTTTGATGGCAAGCATGGCCAAATCTATATCACTCGACTCCTCTCATTCTTTTAACAATGCATCAAGTGAACAAATTTCTAGAAAGTAAAGGTTTGAAGTCGCATACCAACTTCTTGACACCTTCAAGGTCATACAGTAGAAGTGCCCCAAGAAATCCACTAATTTTCTACAATTCTCCTAATCTTCATGAGTTGGAATAGTATGATCTAAAGCATCCTCATGGTGAGCATCTCTTCTTGCAAAGCTAGGAGGTAAAACATGAGAAAATAACATAAATTATCAAATTGATACCATAGGCAACAAAGGAAATATCATTTATATTAAATCAAAAATTGAAATAACATTAAAAATAAACTAAAAAATTGAAATAAAACTATAATTGACCTATCAAATGCAAGCTCATACTTTTCGGCAACTTCTAACATTAAGTACAGGAAATTCCATCTAGTTAGAGTGTCTAGGGACAACATCTTTTTGCATTCAATCTTCTCAAATGTTGCACATTCAAAGAACAGTTTCTGCCTCATTAGACTTTGCCTCACATATCGTATTATAGCCGTAACATCATTAACAGATGGTTGCATCTCTTTAAATCCATCATTAACCACCAAATTCATAATGTGGGTAGCACACCTCATGTGCAAATCTTTCCCTCCAAAAATACTAGTGCCCCACTTTTACAAGTACCCTTTTTGTAATCCCAGCTAGCTACCCAAGAGGGGGGTGAATTGGGTTCTATCAATTTTGTTTAAAAACTTGTATCTTTTTGTTTCAAAACTTAAATCAAATTTTCAACGCATAAACTGTTGTGCAAAATAAACAAAGAATGATAAAGTGCAAAAAAATAAAAAGAGAGGGAAGAGAATATCAAGTCGTGATTTATAGTGTTTCCTCCAACTCGGAGTACGTCCACTCCCTAAACCTTCTTGCTCGAAAGTTCAATTCACTAAGATTCTCTTGCTTACGGGTGCAAGATTAAACCGAAACAAACTTTTACTTGTGGGTGCAAGATTAAACCCTCACAAGTAAATCTCAACAACTCACTCAACCCCTTTAAGGATTATCCCAATTTAAGAAAAAACCCTTGTAAGACAATTAACTCAAAAGCTCACAAGAAGAAGAGGAAGATTCAGAATAGTTTCAAAAACAAACTCTGTTTTTCTATCTTCCTCACTCAAGTCCGTTATGTATTATCTTAGATTTGATTTTTTGATACTCTTTTAATAGTTGGTTGGGAGCCTTGTAATTAAAGCCTATTTTGCCCTTCAATGTCACCTCACAATAGCTCCAATCATATTCCACCCTTTTTCTTCTTGCAATAACAGAGTCTAATGTGTCTTGGAATGTGGTCAGTCATCTGGATCCTTCTAAAGCCCACTAAAACAAAATAGATAATTAAATTGTTAAAATTTTTCCTTCCAAAATTTTTGCTTCGAAGCTAGAATTATTGGTTCAAACCATTTTCGAAAAAAGAACTTCGAGATTGGTTTGGTTCGAACCAAGAACTTTGAACAAGGAGGACATGAATTAATTTTAATCGTGGGGAAAGATAAGAATCCTTGAATTAACTTTCCTACACACTTAGCACAAAAATAGATTAAAGTCTTTTGAATCATGGTTTTAAATCATCATCAAGATACAAAGAGAACCTAACACTTTCAAGTGTCTAACCAATCCATCATTCGCGTTAGCATTGTCTAAAGTAACACAATACACCTTATCCATCCCCCACTCTCTAAGATATCTCTCAAGCATGTCACCTAAAGCATCACCTTTATGACTATCAACAGCAACAAAACTCAGATTTTTAATTTTTTTTTTTGCAACTTCCAATTAGTATCAATCCAATGAGCTATCACACACATATAAGAAACCCTTTTTAGTGATGTCCATGTATCAGTTGTTAAAGATACTCTTTGGTTTCGGTTCTTAAAATATGTTTTCAAATCATCTTTCATTTTAGAGTAAATTCTTAAAATGTCTCTTGTCATAGTCGTATGAGAAGGGATATTAAATAAAAGACAAGCTAATTGACAAAACTTTATAAATCCAAAATGTTCAACAAAAGAAAATGGAAGCTCATCAACAATAAGCATCTTAGCTAATGCTTTCCTAATAGCTTGTTCATCAAATTTTCGTGATGTTGTTGTCAACTAAGTTACTTCTTTACCATCTACATCATTAACCTCTAACACTTTTTGGAAGTTAAGTACAGTCTGTTAAACCTTAACATTAACAAGTATCATTTTGCAACTATTATAATGGTTTTTCAATGGAGTAGTTCCATTCGTTCTAGACTCAGTAGCTAAATCACTCCCATAGAAATGTCACCTAACCCTAGTCTTACCATTCTCATCAATAAAGTCATCAAAAAATTTCCATACCATGCCTTGCGCTTCATGGGTTTTCTTTGAACTAAAAAGGATAGTCTGGTACCACCAGCAACAATGGTAGCACTACTCTTTGCTTTGTTTGATTTGGCATTTGTGCTTCCATTACTCATGTTCTTTGTTGTATTGTTAGCTACAACTATTGTGCCTGAGTTTGTCCCTTCCTCTGACTTCTCAGTGTTCTCACTATTCTCCATTCTTATAAAGTGAAAACCCTAGAAACTAAAAAGTGAAAAAGTGACCTTTTATTTTAAGAAATAACAAAAACCAAACCTTGCTTGAAGCATAAAGACATAAAGCCAACCAGTGAAAAACTTAGCTATTCCTATTCAAAAAATCCACTAAATTTACCAAAGTAACCAAACCCACAAAACTAAAAACCTAGCCCTTGATTTTAGGAAATAACAAGATCCCTTATAGCAACCTAGCGGACAAGCGGCACCTCTGGCTTTGGTGATGCACAAAGCACAGTTAAGGGTTGGGTAACAGTAGGGTCAACCTGAGAGCCCCATAGATAGCCAAGAGTCGCAGGCTATTGAAAGGGATGCTGAAGGGGGTTGTCTAAGGAACCTACTCATCTCGCCTCCTGACCTTCACCCATGCTATAAGGGATCGAAGATCCTAGGATTGTATGATATCTAAAGAGCGAAGGAATAGAGGGACTTCATCAAAAAAGAAAAAAAGAAGAAGAAATTTCACTCACCGAAGCATAAAAGATAGAATTCAAGTAAGAAAAGAGAGTTGAATTAAGTTTGGGGGCTAGGGATTTCAGAGGAGAAGCGAGAGAATGAAAAGGGAAAGGGAGAAAGTGAGTCAGTGAAAAAAAAAAAAAACCCTAATCTTTTAATATTTCGATTATTTCAGGTTTATTCAGTTATTCGGTTATCAAAACTTAAATAAAAAATTGTACTCGAATTATTTAGATTACAAACTGAATTATTAATACCTCAACTGAAATCTGAATATAATGATTTTTTTCGATTATTTTGGGTTTGAAAATTGGATTAATTCAGTTAGAACCAAATAGTGCCCACCTCAAATTTTTGAACCATTTGAGCCATTTGAGCCGTATCGATTCATTGACTGTGTTTCTTTATTGTTTTATATCTAATAACTATCATAACTCAAATTTTTAGTAGAATTTTGTTTTAGTTTTTATCTTTATTTTTAACTAATATGTTTTGTCTTTGTTTTCCTTGTTAGGTTTGTGATCACAAAGGGGATTTTGTGAAGAGGATTGGAAAAGAAGTTGAAAGAAAAGGACTTAATTGAGGAAATTCAAAGAGTGAGGGCAAAATTCATCAAAGTTAAAACCACAAATCCAGCCCATACCCAATATTGAGCACACTAAATTATCCAAACCCAACATAAACTTAAAACCCAATGTTTCAGTGAAAAAAAGAAAAAAAGAAAAAAAGAGGGATAAAAAAAAAGAAGACTCTCAAACCATCTTTTCCTTCTTCCGGTCAACCCTCAGCATTCTCCTTTTTCCTGGAGTTCCTCCTCTGGTAAACATTTCGTAGCCGACAGTCGTGTCTCAAAAAAAAAAAAAAAAAAATTCCAACAATCGTCCTTCTCCTTCTCCCATTGTGATCTATTCTTCCATACCCAAAACCCCTTCAATCTCCTCCCCCTTTTCACGCGACCCTCTGTTCATTTTTTCTCTATGGATTTCCTCTCCGACAACCATCCCTTCTATCTCAAAGTCGCCGGCGGCTATCCTTTTTTCCTTGTCCTTGTCCTTCTCCTTCTCCTATCATGACCTTCCTTCTTCCATGCCAAAACCCCATCGGTTTCAACCAATCTACCGAAACCATAATTTCATATCTTCCCGAGTCATTTCTATAGTCCAACATCATCCACACCGGCAAGTGGGCACCGGAATTTGGGAGAAGAGAGCCAGATCTATCAATTAGAGATAGCGATGCTGTTCACGCAAAGACGCAATGATTTGGCGAAATCTCAATCTCCATCCAACTAAAACAGATCTGCAGACCAGATCTATGTTAGTTACAGATCACGAGTGGGTGATAACAGGCTAAATTGGGTGCAGATTAAGGCCTAAATGTATTTCGTCGATTTTGCTAAAAAGGTAAAGATTGGAGAAGCCCGAATGCATTTCGCAGATTCTGGTAAAAAAGGGTAAAGATCAGAGAGGCCCAAAAGCAGCAGATTCTAAAGGGCCGGAAAGGTGAGTTCCAGAATGGGGTTTTTAGGGTTTCTTTGTCTTGGGTATAAATAGGGGTTGTAAAGGTTAGAAATAGAAGGGGGCTTTTTTGAAAATCTGGAAGGGGGATTTCTGCTGAAGGGTAGCTGTGGTTTGGGAGGAGATCGTCAAGCTTTTGAAGGAGTGACTGTTTTGGGAGTTGCGTTTCTGGGTTTATCTTTGTAGGTAATTTTTGAAACAGAGGGTTCTTTTTGGGAAGATGGTGAAGGAAATGGTGGGAGCTTGATCCGGTGTGTGAGATTCCTTCCATCACATCCAGATCATTTTTCCCTATGTTTTTTTCTTTTTGTGAGATTTCTCTTTTTTGGTTTTGATGTTAAGTATGTATATGTTTGCTGGAAATGAATGGAAAATCGAGGAATGATTCAGTTTATGTGCCTAATGTTTATTTTACTTGATGAATGTGTTCTTTTCTTTATTTTTGGAAACAAGATGAACCCTAAATTCAGTTTATATTATCTTCGCCAGTAAAATACAAAAAATGTGGTAACAATAGCTTAACCACACCAACGAGGGGTTGAATAAAATGGTAAGCGACTTGTTCCAGCTTAAGTAAGGTCTCGAGTTCGAAACCTTGTGAATGCAGCAGCCCTCGCTAAGAGACTCACCCACTATTTTCAGGTGCGCGACGCGGGTCGGGTCTGGATTAGTCGGGGCGAAGCCCCGGATACCAAACGAGAAACCGAAAAAAAAAAACAATAGCTTAACCACAATAAGAACAAACAAAGAAAAGCGAAAATGGGGAAAAGTGCCAAGCAGGAGAAGTGAGATACCGGATCGAGATAAATGGTGCCATGAACGTTGTCACAAACATTCTTGGAGAGCCGGAGATCGTGCGAGGAGGTGAAGTTGCAGACTAGGAACGTATGGGGCATCTTCATTGCAATAAGCTCCCATTCTCAGTCTTTTAGATCTGGAAATGGAAGGATTCAACGAGAGAAGAGAAAACCAGAGGAAGAAACGATGTTGGCAATGCTGGGCACTGGCGATGGAGATTGGAAACGAAGCTAATTGAAGACTAGGCACAGTGGAGGACTGGAGTTTAGAGCCGGAGGTGATGGAGATTGGAGAAGTGGAGCTAGAGAAGAAGAAAGAGTTGATTATGATGAAGATGAAGCTTAGGGTTTCTAATTTTAGCAATTTATGTTCAGATTTTGAGTTTTTTACCTTGAAATTGTAATGGGTTAAAGGGTAAAAGGGCAAAAGGGTGACATGAAAAAAAATGAGGATAAAGCAGACTAATTAGTAAAAAATATTGAAAAAAAAAAAAGAATGGAAAGAATTGTGTAATTGATCTGGCAGGTTTACCGAGGCTTCTAGGTGAAACGATTTTGTTAGGTCCACTTGGTTTGGACGATCCAACCACCCAAATAGGTTTGAGCTTCCAACTGAACCGTTTTGTCAATTAGGTGATGATCGAACCAATCGGCATATTCAGTTCTGAAAACACTTATTTAAGATAATTACATTACTTAATTATCTTAATTAAAGATTAATAAATAAAATTAATTAATTTTAATTAATGTTAAATTAGTCATTCAATTAAGTTAATTATTTTAGTTAATTAATTTAAAACTTTTAATTTCCTTTATCTTGCTCAAAGTCAAAATTATTTTTGTTTATTTTGAATTTCACCTAGAACTTTTGTAATCAAGCAATTTAGTCCAAAGGTTTCAAATCATTTCAGATCAAGCCCTCATATTTGTAATTTAATCAAATTAGTCCCTTTCATTTTTATGCATGCTCATGGTGCATGCATGTCATTGATTTAGTTCATTTTAGTCCAAAAATTTTAAAATGTTGCAATTTGGTCCATCCATTTTTCAAGCTTGCTTATTAAGATCTAAATATAAAGATAATGAATAAGTTGAATTAAAACCCTAATGTTAAAGCATGCAATCGTATTTAAACAAAGGATTGTGAGGTGAGTGTATGCCCTTCCTCATTCCTAACTAAACCCTCGAACCCTGGTCTCAACATAGACCTGTTTTCAGGTGACTTGTCTCATCTTATTATTTGGACGAGTGGTGACTCCTTCTTTTATATTTTTCACACTTAATTTTTCATTATTTATTTTCCTTTTTAAATTTTGAAATCTTAAGTTTGGTCGTCAACAGATTGGCGACTCCACTAGGGATCGAACTCAAAATCTTTGGTTTCTATGTTTTGGGTTCATGAGGGTCAAGCTAATACTTTAATTTTGGGGAATTTTTCAGCTTTTGATTTTCTTTGTTTGTTGAGTCTTTGTTAGTCTTTGTCATTTATGGCATATGCTTATGACATGTGACGTGTTGCTTGTTGCTTGTTTGTTTGTTGTTTTGGTGATTGCTTTTATTGTTTTTTGTCTTTGAGTGATTATCTTACTACATCTTGACATGCATCATACCTTACTTAGGTGCTCATGCATCGTATCATCTCACATGCTCATCCATCATTGATGTTACATGCTATTCATCATGCATCATGCTTACATGCCTACTTGCTTATGTGTGCGAGTACTCACCTTTTACATTTGGCTATAGAGTACTTAGTGAGTCTCTTCCCTTTTGTGCGATTATTTATATCTTGTTGCATGCTATGTGTTGGATGCTATATGTCGCTAACCTTTTGCATTTGGCATAGGAGTACTAGGTAAGTGCTTTCTTGTTGTGTAAGTAGGTTTGTTTATGGGTGATATATCTCTTAAGTGCTTTACATGTTTATTTGCTTTCTTGCTTTATCTGCTTGCCGTGGGATATATGTTGCTCTTTTTTATTGTGGTTGCCATTGTGCAGGTTATTGAAGTGTCATGCCCCTTGCACACACTTACTCTCATTTTGCATTAGGTCCATGTCTAAGGTGAACCAGACCTCTAGTCTAGAATCCTTACAAATTTGGCTTGGAAGAGCAATTCTTCTTGCTTTGAGGAGTAAGATTGGTTCCTATTAGGTTGTTTCCATTTGTTAATACAACATTTTATGATGTAATATCATCTTGTGTATTAGCTTTTGGAAATATCTCCCATTGATTCTGAAAGGATAAATGGTTGAGAAGGCCTAATGCCCTTTAGGAAAACATGTATTAGCCATAGAGAGATACCAACCCTAGGACATGTTTCCCTTAGCATCCCATCATGGTTAAGACACAAAAGGGGCATTTTACTTCACTAGCTTTGTTTGTGCATATGGCAGCTTATCTTTGTATACTTAATGAGGTATGGCATGTGATGGTATTATTTATGTTTAACTTCTTTAAGCTTTTTGTTTAGGTAAGATTATGCATTAGACATGGATTTTACCAAGGATACAATTAGACAAGGAAAGAGGCTTAGGGAGGATCTTACATCTCATTCTACTGCTAAGAAAGGTAGGGAGTTAATCTTTGTAGTCAATACCTCCAAACCCAACTTGAAGTTGTTGAAAAAGGTTTATGGCTTGTTGTCTTCTAGGGAGAAGCATGACTTTGAGGTCTAATTTGGGTGCATTGGGGATTTATTGTCAGTGGTGCTGGATTGGGATTTGTTCAAAGCCATGTTGAAATTTTATGTGCCTAAATATCAAGTTTTTGTGTTCCCACATTTTGAGTTGGTGCCCACCATTGATGAGTATCATCACTTCTTGTAGTGTAGTCCTGTAATGGATGCTTGCAACTTCACTCCTTGAGCACAGCATATGCAATTCACACCAACAAAGGTTCAAGAAATGTTGCAAGCCATGTGAGCAGTTCCCATTTGAATTTTCACAACCATTGGTAATAACTAGAAATGAGTTTTACGGGTTTGATTGAAATGTAGCGTTAATGGCCTTGGGAAAAAGATTGGGGGGGATGACATCTTTTCAAAGGATTAACTTCATGGCATTAGGAATCTATGGCATGGTGATCTTACATATCTATGTCAAAACCATTGCACCTATGGTGATAGCCTTGTTCGAGCAATTGTTGCATACTTCGACATTTAATCTTGCTCCTACAGTGGTGGTTGAAACTTTATGGTTTATGAGAGATATTCGGGCAAAGGATTCGATCGTTTCTTGAGCTACATTGAGTTGTCCACTACATGGGCACCTGGTCACTTGATGGGTTTTTAATTTGAAGCTTTACTCAGTGTTCTTATAAAAGATAGAAAGATGGAGGATTGGCATCGATCACTTTTGTCTACAACTGTTAATGATGTTAGATTTGTTCTCCCAACTTGGCATACTAATTATCTTACTCTACCCGTAGGACGTCACTCTATTCCTTTGTTGGGTATTCGTGGAGGGGTTAGATATTCAATGGAGTTGACATCCCATTAGTTTGGAAAAGCACAAAATGTTCCCTTTCTTGATGATGCTTTGCAGCCACACTTTGATTATGCATTTTCTTTGGTGATAGTTGGCAAGATATCTGAGGCACATGGGATGTGGGGGAAATGTAAGATGTTGCCTATATGGAAAGAAAAGGGGACTAGGCCACAGTATGAGCAATGGAGATCGAGTTGCATAGCTAAGCTTTCTTTGCCATGGGAGATAACAAATACAAAAAACTCTACCATCATGGATTTGACTGCTAAGTTGGAGTTCAACCATACTCAAAGATGTTAGTTGCTAGAGAATTTTGATGAGTTAGTTCTTGATCAAGATTGCTTAAAGAAGGGAAAAAGTTGTTTGATTAGCAAGTGGTGGGGTTGAAAGATAAGATTGCCTTATTAGAAAAAGATTTGGCTGCTAGTAAGGAAGTTTGTGAAAAGCAAAATAGGAGCTTGGAGTTCACCAAAAAAACAAAAGGAAAGATTATTAGAAGTAAAGGCGGATCTTAAAGCAAAAGAAAAGGAGAACAAGAAGCTTTTTAAGAAGGTGACTAAGTAACAAGAATTGAAAGGAAGCGTGGTTAAGTGGAGGAATGCTTAGAACAACCCATTGTCTGATTATGATGCTCTACAAAAGGAATTACAAGCAACAAACCAGTCAAAGCAAAGAGATAAGGAAAGCATAACTTGAGCAACTTAGGGAAAATCTGTTACTTGGGAACTTTAGCACAAACATCATAAATTTAGATTTGTCAATGAAAACTTGCTTGAATGAATACAATCTTTCTACCTTGTCAAAAGTGTATCTAATGAAGTAAAATCAATAGTTAGGATAGAAACTTTCATTTTTAAGTCTCATATTACATATGCATTTTTATTTGATTATACATATCATTTGACTATGATCATTGATTATCTTCTTATTAATATCTTTTATTTGATTATTTTTGTGTTTAGTTCTCCAGCCCTATTTATTTGGACCATTTGTGACCTTTGAAAGGAAATATGGATTCACACACATCCAAGACACAAGCCCTTCCACACAAGACTTTGTTTGAGTTCTCTACTCATACTCAAAAGCTTAATGAAGAAACCATCTCTTATCTGCATCAATTGACTAAGGAAAATGAATGCCTTCACAAAGCCAATAAGCAATTGGAAAAGCAACTGCAAGACATGACTATCAACCGTAATCTTTACTGAATCGCCATGGAGGATGTGCACTATCAAGTCCAAGCTGAGAAGCAAAAGAACCAAATACTTGTTGAAGAGAACACCAACCTATGTGAAGTGGTCATTGACGTGATTGCTTTGGTGACTCAATTTGAAGGGAAGATGGCCAAGTCTCATCACCACATTACTTAAAGAACTTGATACGAACTACGCAAAATTGTGACGAAACCCATAAACAAGACAAGGCACCAAGACCGTTTCTAAGACAAGTTCAAGGGTTGATTGATAAGTTGATGATGAATGCCACGAATAATTTCAATAAGTTTGAAAAGTTGTTCAAAGAACCAGAGAGAATTCATTCTCCCAATACTGATGAATAATTGCTCGTTCTATAATTAGGGTTACAGCCCTATAAATAACTAAAATTAATTCTAATTAGAATAGAAAACTAATAAACTAGGTTCTAACCCTAATAACCACGAATTTGGGCTTCAACTAAATGAATGTTTAGCCTAAATAACACAAAAAAAAAAATGTAAAAAAAAAAAGCTGAAATAACCTAAAACATTGTGCAATATCAATTTGCAAATTGCATTAGATTTGACGCAAACTATGTAATTCAACCCAAGAAAGAAAAAAAAACTTGTCATGCAAGCCAAAACCCAATAAGGAAAGTAATGAATTTAAGCCAGAATGCTTGTTGAATTTGCGCCCAAAGTTCATGACCATTACTTGCAAAGATTAGGCTTGGCTTTGACAGAGTCTTCTAGAACTTGGATTAGGCTGATGCAATTCTAAGGCTCACATGGACTTCTCTCAATGGGCCTCCACGAATTTGCTTGAGTCCAAATTCTCGAATTAGCTCGTTAAGTGCTTCCTTGAACTTCTTAGCTCGAGCCCTCGTAACTAGTCCAACGAGAACTTGAATTGAATCCTTTAAAGTCGAACCAAGATTTACATCATTCCCTTCCTCTTGAAAAGGATTTGTCCTTAAATTGTCTACTACATCAAAAGGATTCAAATAAGTAACATTGAAAGTGGCATTAACATTGTATTCACCTAGTAAATCTAGCTTGTAAACATTATCGTTGATGCGCTCTAGGACTTAGAAAGAACCATCTCTTCTTGGAAGCAATTTGGAATGCCTTTGTGTTGGGAGTTTTTCTTTCCTCATGTGCAACCAAACCCAATCTCTAGGTTTGAAGACCAGCTTAAAACACCCTTTGTTGGCTTGCCTTGCATATTGCTCTGTTCTTCGCTCAATGTTGAGTCTTGCCTTCTCGTGAATATGCCTTACAAAATCAACTTTCTTTTTGCCATCTAAATTAACACGCTTAGACATTGGTAAAGGAGATAAATCTAATGGAGTTAACGGATTAAACCCGTATGCAATTTCAAAGGGTGAAAATTTAGTAGTAGAATGAATAGTATGATTGTAAGCAAATTCAACATGTGGCAAACAATTTTCCTAAGTTTTAATGTTCTTACTAATGATAGCCCTTAACTTAGTTGACAAAGTCCTATTTACTACTTGGGTTTGACCATCAGTTTATGGGTGACGGGTGGTAGAAAACAATAGTTTAGTACCTAGCTTACTTCACAAAGTCTTCCAAAAGTAGCTCAAAAACTTAACATCTCTATCTGAAACAATTGTTCTAGGCATACCATATAATCTCACAATCTCCCTAAAGAATAAATCAGCAATATGTGAAGCATCATTCGTTTTATGACATGGGATAAAACGTGCCATCTTAGAGAACCTATCCACAACCACAAAGATTGAATCTTTTCCATGCCTAGTCTTAGGTAAACCTAACACAAAGTCCATGAAAATATCAATTCCAGGTTCACTGGAAGTAGGTAGTAGCATATACAAAACCAACGGATTGCACTCGGGATTTTGCTTGCCTGCATGTGACACATCTACCACAAATCCTCTCAACATCTCTTTTCATGTGTGGCCAAAAGAAGTGTTCCTGCAAAATAGCTAAGGTCTTAGCAACTCCAAAATGCCCCATTAACCTTCCGCTGTGGGATTCCCTAACTAGCAAATCACGCAAAGAACAATTTAGCACACATAACTTATTTTCCCGAAACAAGAAACCATCATGCCTACAAAACTTACTTGATGCATTTTTCTCACAACCTTGAAACTCCTCACAAAAATCTTGTTCTAAAGGATATAATTCTTTAATGTGCTCAGAACCAAGTAATTTTGCATCAAAGGGTAAAGATTAATGCATACCAGTGAGAAAGTGCATCAGCAACCACATTCTCCTTACCTTGCTTATACCGGATGGCGTATGGAAACATCTTGATGAACTCCATCCATCGCGCATGCCTCTTGTTCAACTTATGCTGACCTTTTAAGTGCTTCAATGATTCATGATCAGTGTGTATCACAAACTCCTTGGGCCAAAATAATGTTGCAATGTTTTTAATGCCTGAGCTAATGCATACAACTCCTTGTCATAAGTTGGGTAGTTTAGAGCTTCCCCATTTAGCTTTTCACTAAAATACACTATTGGTTGACCTACTTGCATGAGTACTGCACCAATACCTACACCTGAAGCATCACATTCAATCTCAAACGTTTTATCAAAATTAGGTAAAGACAATAATGGAGCATTAGTCAATTTTTGCTTGATTAGCCAAAACACCTTTTCTTGTTCTTCGCCCCACTTGAATCCAACGTTCTTTTTAATTACCTCGGTGAGTGGTGCTGCCAAAGTGCTAAAGTCATTCACAAACCGCCGGTAGAAATTGGCAAGTCCATGAAATCTCTGTACTTCACTTATACTTGTGGGACTTGGCTATTCTTGAATTGCTTGGACCTTTTCTTCATCAACTTATATTCCTTGTGCTCTAACAACAAAACCAAGAAATACGAGCCTATCAGTGTAAAAAGTGCATTTCTTCAAGTTAGCAAATAACTTTTCCTTTCTAAGCACATCCAAAACTGATTTTAAATGCATAACATGTTCTTCCAAGTTTTTGCTATAAATGAGAATGTCATCAAAATAAACAACAACAAACCTATGTATGAATGCACAAAAAATATGATTCATCAATCTCATAAATGTTCTTGGTGCATTAGTTAAACCAAAAGGCATGACTAACCACTTATACAATTCATGTTTTGTCTTAAAGGTTGTTTTTCATTCATCTCCCTCTTTCATGCGAATTTGATGATACTCACTTTTCAAATCAATTTTTGAAAATACACAAACACCATACAACTCATCCATCATGTCATCTAAGAAAGGAATAGGATATCGATACTTTACCGTAATGCTGTTGATGGCTTTACAATCAATGCGCATCTTCCAAGTCCAATCCTTCTTAGGCACAAGTAGAACAAGAACAGTACATGGGCTCATGCTTTCCCTCACATACCCCTTCTCCATTAATTCACTTACCTGCATTTGAAGCTCCTTTGTCTCCTCGAGCTTGCTCTTATAGGCTAGTTAGTTTGTAATTGTCGCACCTGGTACAAAATCAATTTGATGTTCAATCTCTCATATTGGAGGTAATCCAGGTGGCGTTTCTTCAAGAAATACATCCTTGTAATCCTGCAAAAGAAAAATAACACTGCTTGGCAAATTTTCGACAAGATCATCATTGCACAAAAAAGCCTCTTTGTATAGAAGTGCTATAAATGGCTGTTGTAAATGTAAAGCTCTTTTGATCTCACTTTTTTTTGCAATGAAACAATGTTGTTTCTTTCTTAAACTCACTAAAGCTGAATATGATTTCTTTTTTTCTCTCTCAATTTTTTTTGGCCTATCTCTCTTTTTCTCTCAAATTTCAACTTCCATCTTTTCTCTAACTTTCCCTTTTTTGCTCATTCTCTTCTTTTTGATCTCTGTCTTTTTCAAGCCTCACTTGATCCTTATACACTTGTTGTTGTGTCAAAGGTACAAGAGTTATTGGACGTTGATTGAGTACAAAAGAGTGTTTGTTGGTAAACCCATCATGCTTGACTTGTCGATCAAACTGCCATGGTAGCCCTAACAACAAGTGCTTAGCATGCATTGGAACGACATCGCAAAGTACCTCATCTTCGTATTTTTTGATTCAAAATGCAACTAACATCTGTTTGTTTACCTTTACCTCACCACTATCATTCAACTATTACAACTTGTATGGACTAGGGTGTCTCAACGTGGGCAAGCCTAATTTTCCACCATGGTTGTGCTAGCAACATTCGTACAACTACCAGCATCAATAATAACACTGCATACCTTATCTTTAACACAGAACCTAGCGTGAAAGATGTTCTCTTGTTGCACTTCATCCACGTCATTTTCTTGCACACTTAAAGCCCCCATCTCCACCAACAAATCTCCTTGTATAGCAAACTCCTCCTCATAGGCATCCTCTACTGGTGGCATTTCATCAGTATCTAAATCTTTGTCTTTGATCACAATTTCGCCATTGTCTTACATCACCATAACCCGCTTGTTTGGACATTGACTTGCTATGGGACCCCTACCTTGATGTCTAAAGCACTTAATATCATGATTTCAAGTAGTAGAAGTGTCGATTTTACCTTAAGAATTGCGGTTGGTGTTTTCAATCTTATGCTCAAATTGGTGCTTAAGAGTTGAGGATGATTGTGGCTTGTACTCCTTTCTGGAAGAACTTGGTTTCCAAGGATTAGACCCTGGGTTATGGCTAGCACATGTACGTTCGCTCTTTTTGAGCTGTCGTTCCACAATGATGGCCATGTACACCATGTCTTCTAGCTCCACATAATGTTGCATCTCCATCTGGTCATGGATGTTTGGATTCAATCCTTGCAAGAATTTTTCCATGGTTGCCTCTTTGTCTTCTTTTACATTGGCTATAATCATGAGTTTCTCCATCTCTTGATAATACTCCTCCATACTCTGATGTCCTTGCCTAAGCCCTTGTAACTTTTTGTACAATTCATGGTAATAATGGCTGGGTACAAAGCGCTTCCTCATCACTGCCTACATCTCTTCCCATGTTTCAATTGGATGCTCCCAATTTCGACGCCTATTCATCACCAACTGATCCCACCAAACAAGAGCATAGTTAGAAAATTTAATGGTTACCAGTCTCACCTTCTTAAGCTCGGAATAATTGTGGCAATCAAAGGCCAACTCCACCTTCCTTTCCCACTCAAGATAGCTTCCAGATATGCTTTTCCTTGGAATGGTGAAATCTTCATCTTGATGCTGCCCAAACTATTGTCCTCCCGATTCCTAACTTCTCTATTCCCATTCCCATGCCTAAACCTACCTCGGTTCGATGGTGGCTCATTCAACTCTTCCAACTCCTCTTCTTCTTCTATGTCACCCCAATGTTCTCTTTGTTGCGTCTACCTAGGTGGTGGTCAAGCGGGAGAATTTTGTTGCTGCCTTTTATTCTCCAATTGCAATGTTTCCAATTGCTCTTGCATGGGTTCAATTAACCTATTCACCATCCATTGCACCTCTCCCAATATCACCTGTACTTGTAGGTGTGGAAGGGTTTGTTGTGGAAGTTCTTCATTCAAGTTTTCTTCTTGGTTGCATGACATGCTTGTAATCTACAAAATGGCGTTAGAAACAATATGGAAAGGACCTCACCACTCTCCCTCACATGTTTCGCTAAAAAAAATATGTATCACTCAATTTCGGTTGTGTTTCATTGAATTGGCTTTTACCCCTTAATATGCTCACCACTCTTGCCTTTTTCCACTCGTGAATTCTCTTTCAGTTCTTTTCAAACTAAACAAATAATATTCAAAATTCCCAGTAGCAATTCACCAAAAACTTACCAACCAAAATTCGAGTTTTAAAAGGATAACTACAATGAACATGTATCGACCAAATGTTGGAATTCACAAAAAATATGAAAATTTTAGACAAAAAAAATTTTGCACAAAAAAAATTTTACACTTTAGGGTAAAGTCAGATTAGGACTCCGAATATTAAAACAATAGAAGGAAACAATAAAAAGGAAAGAAAGATATATTAGTTTGACTATTCCTAATCGGAATTAGATTAACGAATCCTTAAGACAGTAGGGTTCCTAACTTAGGAGGAAGAAACAAATAAAACTGTTATCTCCTAATTTGACCAGAATTCAAACAAATCTCAAACTTCTTATTTCACCAAAAATTCAAGGATTTGACCAAGAATTTCAAACAAAACTCCTTATTGTAGTAGAATTCCTTTCTCTTTAAGGATTTGACCACTGATTTCAGCTCTATATAAGAAGTTCAACCACAAACTTCTTGTCTCTCTAACTCACCTTTTTTTTTTCCTCTTTTTTTTTTCTTTTTGCATTTTCTTTTTTTCTTTTCTTTTCTTTTTTTTTTTTATTTTAACTTTCATGCTCCTTTTGTTTTTTAGGATCAACAACACCGATTTAGAAAATCAAAACAAGTAGAGTTCTAGACAACAAAGGAGAGAACGAAATTGACTCTTTTTTTTTTTTAATGGAAGAAACTGAAAGATTAAAGATACGCAAACCTAATTTAGAACCTGGGCTTTGATACCAAATTGATACTAACTATGCCAACCTGTAATGAAACCCGTAAGCAAGACAAGGCACCAAGACCATTTCTAAGACAAGTTCGAGAGGGTGGAATCATGACTCATTACCTATGATGAGGTAAGAACCTTGGTATGGAAAAGACGTCACAATCAACTATAAAAGGGTTGATTGATAAGTCAAGGATGAACGCCACGGATAATTATGATAAGTTCGAAAAGTTGTTCACAGAACCAACGAGAATTTGTTCTTCAATGCTGATGAATAATCGTTTATTCTATAATTAAGGTTACAGTCCTATAAATAGCTAAAACTAATTCTAACTAGAATATGACACTAACAAACTAGGTTCTAACCCTAATGACCACAAAATTTGGGCTTCAACTAAATGAATGTTTAGCCCAACTAACACAAAAAAGTAAAAATAAGCTGAAATAACCTAAAACATTGTGAAATATCAGTTTGCGGCCAACTGCACTAGATTTGATGCAAACTGTGTAATTCAACTTAGGAAAGAAAAAAAAACTTATCATGCAAGCCAAAACCCAAAAAGGAAAGTAATGAATTTAAGCCAGAATGCTTGCTGAATTCATGCCTAAAGTTCATGACCATTACTTGCAAAGATTAAGCTTGACTTTGACAGAGTCTTCTAGAACTTGAATTAGGTTGATGTAATTCTGAGGTTCACATGGACTTTTCTCAATGGGCCTCCATGAATTTGCTTGAGTCCATATTTCTCGAATTAGCCCGTTAAGTGCTTCCTTGAACTTCTTAGCTCGAGCCCTTGTAATTGGTCTAACGAGAACTTGAATTGAATCCTTTAAAGTCAAACCTGTATTTACATCAAAACCTATCCTATTGAGAAGGGATTCTTCCAACCAGTCTTCGACTTTATCATTAACATATCTAATTTGCTCAAAAAGTTGTATTAGGATTTATGTTTTGTAATGAGTTGGTGTTAACTTTAAAAGAATGAAAGCTTGTAAGTACTTTGATTGCAATTTTGTAATGCTTACTAACTTTGTTTAAACTACGTTCGTTTAGTTAATGAGAATCATGTTTTAGCACAACTCTTTGTAAAATAGGAAAATATCTTTACACAAGATGGGAATGTTGATGTGAGAGAATCCATATGGAACTTCAAAGAGCAAACTGATGGTCTAATAAAAAGGGCTAACATCACTTTAGTTTTCTAGTTTTTCCTTTTTGGTTTTTACATGTTTGTTTTAGGTAAAAGTTCTTCTAATCATAGCTTCAAGGCGAAAGATCTTCATAAAGTAGCATTTTCTTTATTTGCTCAAATCTATAGTAATCAAAATGTTTAGGGAAAATATTGCTACCAATTTGGAAAAATCAACTATGGATGAGAGGGTTGATAAATTGGAAGCTACAATGTAAACTATGGCTGCTACTCTTTAGGCTATCAATCTCACTTTGTCAAATTTGACTATGGGTTCTGTTTCTTCATCTACATCCTTAATGCCTGCAACACCTGCCCTATCTGTCCTTATTCCACGTCAACCATCACACTACGTAATCATGCTAAGGCTCCCTGGTCACACAATTGTAGTTTCCACCTATTTATGAGAATCAGCCTTTGATTAAGGAGTCATTTTCACATGCACCATATATGTCATCTTTATTCATGGAAACCTCACATCCACCACTCAAGATGAACAACCCTACCTTGCCCACAACCACACCTCTTACCTTTAACATGCCACCTTTGATGGGACAAATCCCAACTATTCAACCTACGCCTTCAGTTGAGATATTGAAACTCGCTTTGGAGGATAGGAAGTTAGAAGAGATTGATCACAAGTTGCAGTAGTTAGAAGAGGCTTTGAAAGCTATGCAAGGCCCGCAAGCTTATGGTTTTATTGATTTGGATGATCTTTGCTACTATCCAGGAATTTAGACAAATTTCAAGTTCAAGTAGTCGAATTTCGACAAGTATAATGGTTTAGGTTGTCTTTATGCCCATCTGCAGATGTATGCCAGGAAGATGGCATCTTATTCCAATGATGAAAAAGTACTTATTCATTATTTTCAAGACAATCTTTCGGGCCCAACAAGTATTTGGTTCTCAACACTTGACTTTGAATTTGTACTTTAAGGATGTTTCTCAAGCTTTCATGAAACGGTATGAGTATAACATCAGCCTAGCTTCTGCAAGGGATAGCTTACAAAGAGTCGCCAAGAAGATTAATGAAACTTTCAGAGAATTTGCTCAACATTGGAGATACGAAATAGCTAAAGTCATTCCACCCCTCACCGACAATGAAATTTGTTCTCTCTTTATTAAGTCAACTACTGGAACCTTTTGTGCATGGTTAGCTCCTTGTGTGGGATATACTTTTGCTTAATTAGTGACAACGGGTGAGCAAATTGAAGATAGACTTAAGGCAGGTATTATTGTGGACTTTCAAGCCATTTACAAACAATTAGAGCAAGTCAAGACTAGCAGTGTTGGATCTACTTCGAAGAAGTTTGTACCTAAGGGGAAACGAGAAGATGAAGAAGCTTTGAGTCATATTTTCACTAGTCATGCCAAAGCAGTTTATAATGTGGCAAATGTTTCGTATAATCACCAACCTCAATTGCAATACACTCCGGCTTATAAGCCTGCCACTTACTCTCAAAGAAAGCCAAACTTTAGCGCTCAAGCTCTAGTTTGGCAGCAATTCCCTCCTGCAAATCAACCTAGACAATCACTAAACTTCCAATCCCTTATAGTGAGATGTTGAAACCATTAGTTGAAGTGGGTTTGATGAAGACAGTGTAAGTGAACCCTGTCCAACCACCTTATTCATACTAGTATGATTCGCAAGCTATATGTGAATATCACAATGTGGTGGGTCATGGTGCTGAACATTGTGCATCTTTGAAACATAGAATTCAAGATCTTATCGATGAGGGTAAACTTTAGCTTGATGTTAATGAAGCCAAGAGTACTTCGAACATCACTCAAAATCCTTTACCTCTGCATGATGTAGGCACAATGGATATGGTGGCCTTTGATGAAGTTGAAAGGCCCATGTTGGAGAATGCCAGTTTTTGGTCTCTTGATGAATTGTTTGCCATTTTGATAGAGTATGGTATGATTTAGCCAATTGCACAAAATGAGCCCGAATGTTTTGTCCGTGATAATTGATGATGCTTTGGTGTGTCCTTATCACTCCAATTTGAAGAGGCATACTTTGTGAGATTGTGGAGATTTTCAAAGAAAGATGAAGTAGCTACAAGGAATGGTAGTTTTGAAGTTTGTGTCTACTCAAGAGTTAGAGAAATTTATAGCCTTGGTGACCAAGGAATACTTCACTAAGGTCATGCCTCATATCTTGAAAACTTCTCGTAGTGTGCCATCCATGGGAAAAACATAATTCGTGGCCAATAGCCATGTTCCTTACCCACTTAAGGTCATGCCTCAATGTCTTGCCATTTTGGATTCTGCAACTAATGATGTGTCCAATATGACCGTAGTGGTTGGTGCTATGTGAGTCTCGAAATGGAAGAGTTGAGAAGGGTTGCCTTGAAGTCACAAGATATCATCATTACACAATACGTTAACAGTTTCATCAACGAAGGGTGTAGAGACGCTCTAGGCCATTGCTCAGAACTTTCAGCAAAAGGACATTCGGTTTCAAATACTCAGATAAAAATGGCTTCTTTTCACGATGCACGAGAGTTTCAGGGTAACCAGGGTGGGGAAGAAGAAGTGGATGTTTTATCAGTGGAGCCTATTGCCATGATAGTGATGCCGGAGTTATAGGATTTGCCCGGAACCATCATGCCAGAGAGTAGCGCTAGTTTGAGCGCAGGTGGTGGTTCTGGTGATCACCGTTCGATTTTCCCACGAAAGAGACACCCAGTAAAGCTGGGGGTGTTGAAGAGGTTGGTTGTAGTGCGCCGACGATAAGTACAGAGGTAGAGGCGGTTTTGTTTGAAGGGTGGGAGAGCAAGGTTATGAATGGGAGATTGGATAACCTTCGCAAGGCCCCCAAAACCATACCTGCTGGCTTTAGGTTCAGGGCGGCACTGCATCACAAAGTTGCAAATGGTGCGGGCACGGTGAAGGGGTTTAAAAAATTAGAGGAGATGGTGAGACAATACCAAATCCCCAGAACTATCCTGATCCGAGCTGGGACACCAAACGAATGGGCGTGTTCAGTATTGAGGATGGGCTGGGTGCTAGTGTACGTAGACCATTTTGACACTGGTCTACATTTCCTCTGCCCATACTAATTTTTGATGTCCTGGCAAAGTACGAGCTGGCCTTAACGCAGCTAACTCCCAACAGCATAAGTTTATTATAGGCTTTATGCTGTTGTGTGAGAGGTTGGGGATGCTTGTGAAGGTGATGGTCTTCAAGTCGCTCTTCCTATGCCGTCTGTGCCCCTCCACCAGTGGGATGAGATGGTACTACATCTCGAGGAGAGAAAAGATGGTAATATTCACCAACATCATAAATAATGTGGCGAGGTGGAAGCGACAGTTTATCTTTGTTCGTGATACACGAATCGAAAGGATCAATAATGAGCTTGCCGCTTGTTTATTAGACTGGCATACACCAAACGCCTACATGAACTACCCTCAGTTGACTGTTGGTGATGTCGACCTGAAGAACCAGTTGCTAGATCACGTTAGGGCAAGGGGTTTGGTGGATTTAGAAACCTTGGTTACCTCAGAGCAGCTCGCGTTACTTGGGTTTGTCGACATGGCAAACCTACATGTTGAAGGTATATTTCTATAACATACTAGAATTTCTAGCCGGTCTAAGTCTTATGCCTTTGTTTGTGCAGGATAAATGAGCAGCATTCTGGAGAGGCAGCGTCAACAAGCACAAGGCTCAAGGAACCATGGAGCTGGGTCCGGTTCCCAACGTCAAACTCGCTTTGACAAGCGGCCATCAGCCGCATCGGGGCGTAGTTCGTCCCACAGAAGTTCGAGCTCGGCACCAAGACAGTGTGCCGAGCAAAGAGTTGAACCTATGACCTTAGGTTCAAGAAGGCGCGCGTGGGAGGACTCTGATGCTGAGGATGACATTCCCCTCATCTGGCGAAGGATGAGCACGGGATCTCAGCCCGCTTCAGCCATTACTACGTGGCTTGCTAACTTGCCCTCGGCGCTGGCACCTACCTCGTCATCTGTATCGGGGCCAAAAATTGCATACTCGGAAGGCTTCAGTTATGTCAGAACTGACTGCCAGACCGCCATGGTGCAGGGTATGCAGAGCTTTGTGCCCTTTACAAATCGACAACGTGCGAAGGGGCACGTCTAGTAACATGGAGGTCATGCTGCTTTGCTGAAGCTGATGGATGTAAGTATATTTAACAAGCACATTGTTTGTACTCTACAATTTTGTGTTATAAACTAATGATTGAATTTGTGGTAGGCGTTCAGCTACACTATAGCACTCTTTAAGTGCGAGCAAGGGGCGTAGGTGCAGAACCGCAAGCTCTAACAAAACTGCAAACAACTGGTCTCTAAGAAAGCTAGTTTGGCTGACGAGGTCAATCGTTTGCAAAGCTCGGAGATGGCGAACAGAGTGGCGTCAGTTGAGAGCCAAGCTGACAAGTTGGCCCGTAAGGTTAACCAGCTGAGGGAGGAGCTTGAAAAAGCTTAGGCAGAGAAAGAGAGTGGCATTCAAGTCGCTAAGGAGGAGGCCGGCCGTGCTGAAGATCGCGCCAAGAAGGCGGAATTTGACAGGGAGAAGGCTCTTTACGAGATGCACTCCCTGAAGGATAGGGTCGTGGAGGCCGACCAGCATGTTGCCCGCGCTAAGGCGTCCTTGGAGCAAAGTAAGAAGCACAACTAGCGCGCTATCTACTTTGCTCGGGCATAAGGAGCTGAGTGGCTGATTGGAGCGAACATGTTCCAAGACGCCATCATAGTAGCCTCAGCCAACACCACCACAAATATCTTCAACGAGATTCGTGGGAAGGTGCTGCGAAAATGGGCTGACTTCCCAATCAACAAGTTGGCCTTCTTCGAGGGGGAGGAAATGGACGAGCAAGGGAAGAGCCTCGCCCCTCCAAGTGACACCCTCCAGTTGACACCCTCCAGCTGACACTGAGGTGAAGCTGAAATGGGAGCTGAATGAAGAGGGGTTGCCAATGTGGCCCCCTTCTATTGTTGAAGAGGGGAAGGATACCGAGGGGTTGCCAAGCTTTGATGCTTGGGTGGCAGACCCCCAGGAGGTACCTGCTAAGCCTTCTAGCACTCCTCTATCCTCCCAGCCCGCCCTTGCTCCTGTTCTCTCTCCTCCAGATGGTCATCTCCTGCTCGATCTCCTGCTGCCCGTGCGCTCCCGTCCATCCCCGTCGACCTAATGGATGATTAGCTTAGGATTTCTTTGCTTCTTTTGTATTTTTTTTGTGTTTTTGTATTGGTCAGCGAACCAATTCATATTGTACTTCAAATGTAAAGAATATTGATGGAAATACAAGTTTGAAAATTTTCCTTTGAAATTTCTATATTTACTGTTGTATACATTCTTTACATCGTCATGTACAGTTTATTGATAAGATAATGACATACATGTTGACTGTAAAACTTTCTAAGGTTATGTATGTTTCAAATGAATGGTAACTGACGACCTTGTAGATATGCTAACTGGTAAGACCCAGGTCGCTTAACACAAATGACCATATAAGAACCTTCCTAGTTCGGAGTGACTTTACCCATATGTGAGTAAGAGTTAGTGAGCCCAGCCTTGCGTAAAACTAGATCGCCAACTTGAAATTGACGAGCTCGGACCCTTTTATTATAAAATCTAGCAACACGACTTTAATGTGCCACGTTTCTTATTCAAGATATCTCCCTCACCTCTTCTACAAGATCTAGGTTATCTCTTAAAAGTTGCTCATTACTAGGATCATTATGCCGATTTGATCTGTCGAATGGCAATCCAACCACTACAAGGATGACGGTCTCAGCTCCATAGGCGAGGCTGAATGGGGTTTCGCCTGTAATCGAGCTGGGTGTAGTGCGACATGACCAGAGCACTTTATTGAGCTCGTTAACCCAATTAGAGTGTCCGGCTAAAACACGCGTCTTGAGGCCTCGCAAGACGATTTTATTGGCGGACTCGGCTTGCCCATTTGACTGTGGAATATATACAGACGTCAAGGCGAGCTCAATGCCATAGTCGTTCCATAATGACTTGAGTGCTACGGCTCGGAACTGTGGACCATTGTCAGCGATGATCCGTTTAGGTATGCCAAACCTGCACACAGATGACCGAGCTGAGCCACAAACTATGTTTGTATACAATGTACAAATGGCTTAAGCCACCAAAGAATACCTGCATAATATTGAGTTGAACAGGAATTTCTCTATTTTCTTCTCTGTGTTGTGGATAACGGTTTTGCTTCTATCCATTTGGTAAAGTAATCTACCACGACAACTAGGTATGTGCAACCTCCTTTGCCTTTAACAAAAGGGCCAAGCAGATCGACTCCCTATTGAGTAAAAGGCCAGGGTGAGGAGAGTGATGATAGCATTTCTCCTGCTTCAACGGAGATATTTATGTTTAGTCTATAGAAAAACGTGAGGTTTGCACGAACTTTAGAACGAGCTTAGATACTTGGCATGTGAATGTCATCAGCATTGAACTGGCAGGTAGAACACTTTTTGACATAACTCTGTGCATCCTCGACCATAGCAGGATAGTAATACCCATGTCTCAGGAGTTTCCGAACCAATGCTTTACCACTTATATGTGTGCCACATACTCCTTCATGAACTTCCCTTACAGCGTATTCAACTTCATAAGGAGTAAGGCAGCTTCATAGTAGGGGCATTGAGGCTACTCGCTTGTAGAGCTGATTATCTATCAAGGTGAAGTGTGCCACCCTGCGTTTAATCAACTTTGAGGTGGATGGGTCTTCGGGCAGCTCACCACTTCGCAAATACTCAACGAAGGGTGTAGTCCAACTCGGCGAAGAGGGATCTGTGCTTAGCAATTGGCACTCAATTGTGAAGTTGGTGTAGCTCAGTGCGTCAAGTACCTCCACAATTCTTGATCTTTAAGGATTGATATCTTGCGAGGAAGCTAATTTTGATAGCTCATCAGCTCATTGGTTATCTGCTCTAGGTATCTTGTCGATCTAGAAAAAGACAAATTCTGATTTCAATCTGTTGACTCTAGAAGCATCATTACCAAGCTGAGGATCCCTGATTTCACAACTCCCATTCACTTGACCCACAACGAGCTAAGAATCGCTGAAAATCCTTATGCTCTTGACTTTTAAGTCGAACGCTAGCTTCAAACAATAAATAAGGGTTTCATACTTTGCAGCATTATTTGTTGTTTGAAATTTGAACCTTAATGCGTGCTCGGATTTAAAGCCATTTGGGTCCACTAGCACTACCCCAACACTCGATCTTTCGATATTAGCAGCTCCATCTACATATAAAACTCAGACTGGGTATATGGGCGCCCTTTCTTCCGTAGTCGTCAAAAGGCATTCCACTAGGAAGTCTGCCACAGCCTGCCCTTTAATGGTTGTGAGTGGTTGAAATTTGAGGTCATACTCGCTCAGCTCGACACTCCACCCAATAAGCTGACCAGAAAGTTCGGGTTTCTACAATATCTTCCTCAATGGTAGATCGGTATAGATAACAATTTTGTGTGAATGAAAGTAAGCTCTCAATTTGCAAGCCGTGTAGACAAGGGCAAAAGCAGCTTTTTCTGCTAGTGGATAATTCTGCTCCGCGCCTTGTAAAACCTTGCTCATGTAGCAGATGGGCTTCTAATGTTTATTCTATTCTCTAAGCAAAACCGAGCTCACGGCCTCCTCTGTAACCCCTAGATACAGGTATAAACTCTCCCCCTCCACAGCCTTGGAAAGCAGGGGTGCTGATGCCAGATATTGTTTGAGCTCGTCGAACGCCTGTTGACATTTTTCGGTCCACTAGAAGTTCTTGGGCTCTCTCAAGGCTTTAAAGAATGGGAGGCATCTTTCTGCTGATCTAACTATGAACCTATGCAATGTAGCAACACAGCTTGTCAAACGCTGCACATATTTTATGGTCTTGGGAGGCTCCATCTGCTAAACGGCCTAAACCTTCTCTGGATTTACCTCAATTCCCTTCTTGGATACCACGTACCCTAGGAATTTTCTTGATTCTACAGCAAACGTGCATTTCAGGGGATTCAATTTCATTTGGGCTTGGTGCAAGTTCTAAAATGTTTCACTCAGGTCGTCTATATGATCTTCAGCTCGCTTACCGGTGACTATCATGTCGTCCATATATACTTCAATGTTCCTACCGATCTGGAGCTTAAAGACGACCTGCACCAACTTCTGATATGTCGCGCCAGCATTTTTCAAGCCAAATGGCATCATGACATAGCAGTAGATTGCGTCACCAGCATAGAAAGCCGTTTTCTCCTGATCATCCAACAACAACTTAACCTGGTGATAACCCAAGCTGGCATCAAGGAAACCCATGCGTTCGTGTCCGGCTGCTCGCTCTACCAACTTCTCAACATTTGGCAAGGGGTGAGGGTCTTTTGGACATGCCTCATTTAAGTTAGTGAAATCAATACACATTTTCCACTTGCCGTTTGATTTCTTGACGAGCACAAGGTTAAACACCCACTTAGAGTATTCAACTTTCTTGATGAAATCTGCTTGTAGTAGCTTTTGAATTTCTTCATCTATAGCAGCTTGCTTCTCAGGACCAAAAAGGCGACGTTTTTGAACCACCGGCCTTCTAGTGGGGTCCATGCTGAGCTTGTGGACTGCCAACTCTGTTGGAATGCCAAGCATTTCATTCGTCGTCCATGCAAACACATCTTGATTAACCTTTAAAAACTCTAGAAGTTCAGCTCGTTCTTCCGTTGTGAGCTTTGTGCCAACCTTAACTGTTCTTTCCGATATGTCAAGGTTCAAAAGGACTGCTTCCATTGGTTCTACTGGCTCAGCCTTCTGCTCGACACCCTCAAGTCGGTGCTCAATATCTGATATGCTCATTGTCTGTTGACTAAGCTTGGTCAGCCTGCGAATTTCAAAAAAGCCTACCAGGGCTGCAACAAGCTCAACCTTCTTGAATGTATCTTGATAGCAGGCTCTGGCCATCTTCTGGTTCCCCTTAAGCACTCCTACCCCTGAGGAGTTGGAAACTTCATATAGAGATGAGGTTGTGAGATGACAGCCTTCAGCTCGCATAGGGTGGCTCTTCTTAGTATGGCATTGAAAGCCAATTTCATTTTGACGACAAGAAAGCTAACTGAAGCCATCCTGAAGCGCGGTTCCGAGCCCACATAAATGGGAAGAGTAATTACTTCTTCAACCGAGACAGGTTGATTATCGAACCCATATATGAGCCCTTTATACTGTTGCAACGAGCTTGGATTCAGCTGCATCTTCTAAAAGCAGCTCCAATACTTGATATCTTGTGAACTACCAGTATCGATAAAGACTTTGTTGACGTTATGATTGCCTATATGGACCGTTGCCACAAAAGGATCTGCATGAGGCATCATAACGTCAGGCTTTCCTTTTGTTCACTTATAATCTACTGAGTTGGATGTGATGGGCACATTCTCCCATTCTGCATGCTCGAATGGTCACTTCAAGGGCCTGTTCTTGTTAACGGTCATCACTTGATGGGCATATGCCTTGCGGCCCCGAGCGCTTTAGCCTCCTAAGTGTATACCACCTGAGATCATGTTTGTTGTGCTAAAGGGTGGGGGTATCCCCGCATGGCCTATCCATTTCCTATCTTTTTGGTTCTGGGTGGCAGTTCTCTGTCCTTGGCCTCGCCTATTGAATTGATGTCCCATGTACACTCTGCCCTGCTCGAAAGGATATTGGTTGTCTTGATACACACCCTTGCGGCTGCCGAGTTGATACCTCTGCCCCTGAGGTCGGTCATACCTTTGCACAAAGTGAGTCTAAGTTGGCTGTTGGGCATAAGGTTTCTGAACATATCCTTCTAATTTCCCATTACGAGCTAAGAATTCCAGCTTGTCCTTCAAGTATTCATAGTCTTCTGTATTGTTGCTGTATGTACGATGGTAGTCACAATGTTTGCTTTTGTCTACTCTTAGGGAATCATGTAGTGGGGGAGGTGGTCTCCTGATCCAATGCTGGATTTGTGCCAAGATTTGAGACCTTGGCGAGGTCAAAGGAATGTAGTTGGCATACTTTGGGAAGTTGGATGGCTTTCCCCACTGCTCATTAACTTTCTGTTTTTTCCTTTCTTCTCTTCGCTGTGGTTGTTTGTGGCTTTTGCTTTGTCTATCATCAGCTCGTCGCTTGGACGACTGGAAGTCTTTTGATAGTATGAAGCTAGTCGACCTGTCATTTACTTCGTCCCACGTCTTTGGTGGGTTTTCTAGTAGGTCGTCTAGAAATTAGCCAGGTTTGAGGCCATGCAATAAAGCAAATAAGCAGATGGTATCAGGGACATTATCAATTTCTAGAGTGGACTTGTTGAACCATTGCATATAGTCCCTTAGAGACTCTCCCTCCTTTTGATGTACTTGCATCAGCTCAGTAGCAGTGCGCTTAGTATCTCTTTGACTCGCGAACTTATTTGAAAACAAAGTGGCGAGTTAAGAATAGGAGGCTATGGAATGTCTAGGTAACTTGTGGTACCATCTTCTGGCCATTGACTTCAACGTCATAGGGAAAACCTTGCACATCATGGCGTCAGTGGCATTCTGGATCCTTATGATGGCTTGATAAGTATGCAGATGTTCATCCGAGTCTTCTAAGCTATCATATGTCTCCAAATGAGGAATTTTAAATCCCTCTTGATATGGTTCAGCCGTGATGGACAAGTTGAGAGGGGCACTATCCAAGTCGAGAGCCTACTAGCCCAACCTGGGACTCCTTAGCTCGTCAATAGACTTCTGCACGTCTTTGAGTTGTCTTTCAAGGTCGGCGTTCTTCTTTAGTAATTCTTCATTATGCCTGGACGAGCTAGGTTATAGGTTCAACTTCCCACTTCCTCTTGGCCTGGTTGGGACCACTACATTGCTTAGGGCCGGGGAGTTACGAGTTGTAACTACTGCAACCGGTTGCTCGCCCCTATTCAGCAAGGGAATCAAGGGGTCATCGGGGATCAAGCGAGAGAGAATTTTTCCCATGGCTATCTCTTGAACTCTTGTTCTTTCTTCCAGCTCAGACGTTCGAGCAGATTCTACAGGTCTCTCCACAGGTCATGCAGTATTATGCTTGGAATGCCTTCATCTGGCTCCAGACGGGATGTGAAACTATTCTTCAAGTTGGGTTGCATACCCTGTAGGTGTTCTTTCATCATCATCTGAAGTGTTCGACTGTTCTTGTTCTGCACCGCCAATGAAGAGGTTTCTCGGAAGCGTTTGGAAGTCATTAAGATCACTTTCCAACACCTGAGTGTTATCTTGGCCATCCACATTCTCTCTTGGGGGGTGGTTTCTTGTGAAGGTACACACCATTTTCAGCTCGTACTGGTTAAGTCACAATGCTTTTTGTTCGGTTTCCCATAGATGGCGCCAAATGTTTAGGCAGCTTCGTGATCCAAAATTGTTGATATCTTCAGCTGCTTCCACACCTGCTTGGCCCGTTGTCCATCACTAGGAGCCATACAGATCAAGTCATTGTCCTTTGATGGGAGCCATGTAGCAAAATAGACTCTTTGTCCATTGTTAAGAGCCATAAGACATAGCTGTGAACATCGTTGTGAAGGACACGGTCGTCAGGAAACGCCTAGCCATGTTGCCGAAATAGATCTAACCATGTCTAGCCATGTGTGTACGGATAGATGTTGGGGTGAGTCACATTCTACGATGTTTCCAACGAAGCGAATAAATGTCATTTCTATTGATGTTTATTCCACAACAACAATCAATAGAAAATTGGAGTCACATGCCGGATGTGGAAAATAGGTGTTGTGAGCCTTTGTTGATGTGGACCCATACATGTCATTAGTTATGCAGCCATATAAATTCATCCCTCAACAATCTTCAACCTCTCCCCAAATAAACCAAAAATACCCACCATTTTTATTATATTTTCTACACTATTAAACAGTTTCCAAATTTGTAGAACATCATGGCTGGGAGACAACATATTGCAGATTTATTTTTTGGGTTATCTTCATGAGCATCAAAGGATTAAGCTAAAGAATTAGCATAAAAAACGAGATCAAGCCCTCCATTTGCAAGCCCCCACAACAATCATCCTTTCTTCTCCCATCACTACTTTTAAGTTATTCCTTTTGTCTTGTTAAGGCTTGAGGGAGACCATTGTGCCTTTTATCTACGATGTGAGGGTTGCTTATTATAGAGTAGAAGTATTTGTCAAGGATAATAGAGAGCATATTCATTGTCTTTGCTATTGTGCTACAATATACTATGTAAAAATGTGCTTCTCAAGTTGTAATTTTTAACCCTTACATATTTTCTATCCTTGCTGCTCCTACAACATTATACATTTCATTTTCATTATTTTTGGTTGTTGTGTAATCATTCTTGTTATCCTGGGAGCACCATCATCACTCAACTCTTTCTAGCTTGGCTGGGGACACTCTATTTTCGGTCTTCGCTGAAAAAGCCCTATTTTCAGACTTCATTGGAGAAACTCTATTCTTGGTTTTCGTTGGAGAAACTCTACTCTTGGACTTCGTTAGAGAAGCTCTATTTTCAAACTTTGTTGGAGAAACTCTACTCCCAAACTTCGCTAGAGAAACTCTACTTCTAGACTTTGTTGGGGGATTTGTTGCTAACCACATTGTTGGACATCTTGGAGCTCTATTATTGCTGCCAACTCTCCTTCTCAGCTTGGCTAGAAAACTTACACCTTCAGACTTTACTAGAGAATTTGTTGCTGACCAACATTGCTAGGCAAAACAAGATGGCCTGTGGCACGTAGCCTCTTGCACGTGAAACGGGTGCTACCAAAAGGACCTTCCTCATCATTCACAAGTGGCATCCTAGTTAGCCTCCACATCATCACTGTTGCTGACACATCAACCTACATCACCAGCACAAACCCTAACAACATCTTACATGATGGCCTACGTATCATTAATGTCCTATCTCAATGGCATATATACAATCATTGGACAATTTAAAAATGTTATCTTATCATACAATTCTCACAATAGCAGGGACTGCTATTACCTTTTGATGCAGTAGATAGCCTAAGGCCTTTATTGATGTTTAATATACGCAAAAGAGTAACAATTAATATTCAACAAATAAAATGCCTCATTTAAATAGTAAATGTCATAATTATAAGTACAAATTGAGTTGGTTCAAGGGCACATTCTAACATCTTGTATTCGAAATTCCTTGAATGATTGTTTGGAAGCTTTGGGAGAAGTCATCAAAAGTTCAAAGAGGTCACTAGTATTGGAGAAGAATAGTAAATACTAGTGTAACAAAGAACCATTTTAAGTTTTTTTTTAATTAATTTTTTTCACTTTTAATTTGAAATTAATTAATTTTTTTAATGTTTATTAAAGTTATTTAATAGGTCTCATGAGTTAGACTCCCATGTTATAAAAAACTTGTCATTGTTTAAGTAAAAAAATTGTCACTTAAGCATATGTATAATTTAATTAATTTATAAGAAATACATTATAACTGTTGGGCTGTGCAGGTGGTGTGTGTTGATGAGTCAACAGTGAAGATGATGTGGAAGCTAACTAAGATGCCACCCGAGAAAATGAGGAGGGTCTTTTTGGTAACACTCGTTTCATGTGCAAAAGGCTACGTGCCACAAGTCGTCTTATTCTATCTAGTGATGTTGGTTACCAGCAAATTCCCTAGCAAAGTTTGGAAGTAGAGTTTATCTACCAAAGACCAAGAGTAGAGTTTGTCCAATGAAGTTCAGAAATAGCGCTTCTTCAGCGAAGTTTGGAAATAGAGCTTCTTTGGCGAAGTTTGCGAATAGAGTGTCCCCAACCAAGCTAGAAAGAGTGGGGTGATGATGGTGCTCCCAAGATAACGATTACACAACCACCAAAATAAATGAAAATGAAATATACAGTGTTATAGGAGCAGCAAGGATAGAAAAGATATAATGATTAAAAATTACAACTTGAGAAGCACATTTATGCATAATATATTGTAGCATAATAACGAAAGCAATGCATGTGCCCTTTAATGTCCCTAATAAATACTCTCATTTTATAACAAACGACTCCTATGTTGCAAGTGAAAAAACATAACGATTCCTCTTCTAAAGCTTTCTTAAGAACAAAAAGAATAAACTTGAAACTAGTGATGGAAGAAAGAAGATGACCATGGTGGGGGGTTTTTGAATGGAGGACTTGATCCTGTTTTTGATGCTAACTCTTTAGCTTGATCCTCAAATGCTCAAGAAATTAACCCCAAAAACTGAAATTGCAGTATACTGTTTCCCAGCCATGAAACTCTACAAGTTTGGAGAATATTTTTGTAGTGTTGGAAGTGTAGAAAATATAACGAAATGGTGATTTTTGGGTATTTTTAGTGTGCATGAGGAGAGGTTAAAGATGAAGGATTTTTTAGAGGAAAAATGAAGGTTTGGTGTGTGAGGAAGAGAGTTAGATCTGTGAAGATTGTTCTTATCTATTGGAAAATGAAGGAAAAATAATATATATATGTAGTGAGATTTTTGTAATTTTTGGTTGATGGGTTAAAGGTGTATATTGGCTTAATGGGTAGATTTGGGTGAGCTGTTGAGTTTTGAGTGGCTTTGAGCATTACTGACAACTTTTTGGCAATGATATTATGAATTATCCAGTGGTTTTAGCAAAGCATTGTTAGTTCGAGCGAAGCACCGCACTGCTAGTTCGAGCGAAGCACCATTGGTTCCAACAAAGTACTGCTAATCTGTTGAAGACTACCCATTTTTGGTAACTCACCAACCATACGAAATTCCTTTCTTGGGGGGATAATTGAGTGTAGCAAGCAAAAATAAAATCTACACTGGATATTTGGTAGATTTCCTAAACAAAATGTGATATTTTTCAACATTTTCCAAGGCCATGGAACTTGTGCAGCCACCCTTGCATTGAATATAGCTACAAGTAGTTGATGGTGACCAAAACAACATCTTTGGTTGGTTTTGAATGAGGTTCCAAGGTTCTAGTCAGCATCGAACAGTACGATTTTGGGATCAAGCTCAGCCTCCACGTCTTCGCCACCTAGCCTTTTTTGGCGAAGTGGAGCAACATTGCCAGCTCCAAGTTCATTGGCACGAATACCTTGCTTCGCCAAACGAGCAATGTTCATCCATCTATGCTTGCCAAGCCACTACTCTCATAGTTTATCCTAAATAATTCTCATGAGCTTGGATTTATAGGTTTATTGATGACCTGCATGTAAAAGTAGTAATTAGTTGATGAAGATGATGAAATTTAATAAATAAATAATAAAGGAACGAGACTTCCTTATGTATGTCTGGTGATGCAGTCATGTAATATAACAATAGATATTGCTGGGTCTAGCCATGTGTTACAACATAGATATTATTGGGCCTTTTGGTAAATGCATGTTAAAGGCATTAAGGAGCACTTAGATTGAGGTGGGTCTTGTTGACGTGGAAATTACTTGAGTCCGAGTTTGACCTTTTGCAAAAATGTTCATCAACAATATCTTAAAAGAAAAGTCAAGTCACCAATGAAGTCTACAAAAATCATTGTTTTGAAAGACGAATTATAGGTCAAACCATTTTGGTCTCTAGTTTTTTTTGTTTGAAAAGCCTAATCAATTGCATCGGTCATATTACTAATTTAATTGAATTATTAATAATATAATATATGTAATAATAGTAGGAATCTAGTTATACACAAGTATTATACACCACACTTACACAAAATTTTAACCATTCACCTCCTCACTTTTAATGATTGAAATTTGTTATGATTTTTTAGGTAAAAATAAATAAATATCTTTAATAAATATAAATAAATCCCAACCATTAAAAGTGGAGAGATGAATGGTTAAGATTTTGTGTAAGAATGGTATATAAAAGTTATGTATAAGTGAATCCCTCTTCATGTAATAAATATAATATTATTATAAAACAAAAGGAAAGTAGCAAGATAATAGAGCTTTGTAGTGATGATTTCTTATTTCATCAAGTACTTTTGCCTGCACAAATCACAAATCATACAAATTTATAGGCCTATATAGTTGCTAAAGAAAATGTGGGAGTTACATTGGCTATTGAACAGAACTAAATGGGGGAATGTGATGAGAACCCCAAAGAGAACAATGAGACCCACAACACGACAAGGGATTTCTAAACTCCAGGAAAGCTAAATCAGATTTATAATGGGACCTTGACCCATTGTTTATGTCACAATAAGAACCAAAGGTAAAAACCTGGACCTGTTATCTATGACGCAACAAGAACCAGAGGTATAAAGTTGGTTGACGCCACACCCTCGAACGATGAAGAACGAGAATAATAAGTCAGGTTAGAACGCCACAAGAATAATCTTGATAAGTTCTGTAAAGTTCTGAAACGAACCAAAGAGAAAAGTCTCTCAAAATCTCAGATTCAATCGCCTTCCCCCCATTAGGGTTACAAGCCTTTTAAATTGAGAAAACAAATCCTAATCAGAATAGGAAACTAACACCCTAAATCCTAAACCTAATAACCACGAATTGTGCTTCAAATAAGCAAATGTTCAGCCCAAAAATAATACAAAAA